AAGAAAATGCTTTACAATTGGATCTGATGGAGGCATTTTTTCAATTGAAGCCCCTTCCTCTCTTATGCTTCTAGCTTGTGTCAAGTTGACATAAAACCAGTCAGTATCAACCTTTCCATTGAGACAGAACCTCACTGGCCTGGACCTCACTAAGTAGGTGAGGTTGATTGATGAGCAAGCCCCAGGGATCTACCTGTCTCCACCTCCTCAATACTGGGACTTCAGGTGTCAACTCTTTCAGCTTTTTGTGGTGTGTGTTAGGGATCTGAACTTATATCCTAATGCTCATGTGGCAGGCATTTTACTGACTAAACAATCTCTCAGCTATGTCAATGTAAGTATGTATGTATGTATGTATGTATGTATTATGGATATGAGATTCATTTTATTTTAGATGTATATGTTTTGCCTGCATGCATGTATGTGCACCACATGTAGGCCTTATTCCTCTGGAGACAAGAAGAAGGCATTGGATCCCCAATAACCAGAGTTATAAATGGTTGGAACCACTATGTGGGTACTGAGATTGAACCCAGATAATCTGCAAGAGCATGCTCTCCACCCATATCATTATAATTTTTAACAAAAAGAGATACCAAGGTCTTCAAAAGTATAGCCCTCATTAAAAAAAAAAAATCTAAAACAAACAAAAAAACAGTGTCCTAGATAGCCATGTTACCTGAAGTAAAGTAAATTAACATCAAAACATTATTACAAATTGAAGCAGCTTAAAATAAACAAAAATGTACCAAAAACTGGGAATGAACAATCAACTGACAGATTAACTTTAGAAATAAAATGATTAATTATGAATATATGAAGTATATATTAAGAATCATAAATGGCCATTTATTTATAACTTAAATATAACCCCACACCTTAAAACATGAGTCATGGCTCTATTTTTTGGTATAGGTTAACATGACATATCTTTAAGTTTTGATTCAACTTTTCAGAAAATCATAAAAAAACAAAAACAAAAACAAAAAACAAAAAAAAAAAAATGCCCATATCACTTTGACCAGCCGAGGGAGAGTACTTACACAAATTTGGCCTAATCTATTTTTGTATTTGCCTTAGCTGTGTTATTCTTTTAGCATCTTTTTGGTCATTGTTCTTCCAATTCACTGGCCTGGCTCATCTAATAACCATGTTCCTCAGTGGTTTTGTCTTAGAAAGTAACTTCTCAGACTTCATTAAGTTCTACATCTTCATCAAATTTTAACTATTACTTTACATGTGTTCTAATTACGTGATAGTTGTGTTTCAGGTTAAGCTGTATCAGTCAAATATAGCACTGAATCTTTGAGATGAAATGCAAGAGTGAATGTGACCCTGGAGGAAGGCTCTGTGTGTGAGTGCCCACTGAATGCACACCTATTGCATATATATTTTCTTCTTACCCCTGTAACATTAAAGATTTTAATAACAAACATGTAGCAAAAAGGGTTTCTTTTAGTTTGGAGGGCAGGGTGGCTAATGAAGAGGTTAAGATTATGAAATCAGCTCAAATTTGCAGATGTTAATAAGCATTGAAGAAAACTGTGAGCCTTCACTAAGTTAGGATGTTTAGAATTTTAAGGCAAATAGGAGCTAGCTGTTCATTCCTGTAATCACAGCACTTGGGAGATGGAGAGAGGAGGACCAGAAGTTTAAGGTCATCCTTTGCTTTATAGTAAGTTCAAGGCAACCTGTGATGCATGAGACTATCTTTAAAACAAAACAAATAGCAACAATCAAAAATGTATTTAAAAAAAAATTCAAGTCAGAGGTAGACTCTGAGTAAGCCTTAAGCCGTAATGATTAAGTGAGGTTCCTTCACCCCAGAGACAACTAGAGCCTGTGTTCGAACTTGTCTCAATTCCAGTTCTGAATTCAGCAATCCAGCTTCAAGCAACATCATCCAGTGCATTCCACCTTCTATTACAATGTTGTGATTGGGCACAGACTTGAGACATCTACATGATTGAGAGGAGGGTACTTCCAGTGTCTTTCATTCCTTCACTGCAGCCCATGACCCTTGTTATGCCATTACGCTGATTGAGATGGGAGGCGAGGCAGGGAGGAACTGGAGGTTGGGGAGCAGTAGTAGGGGAAACCATAATCGAGATACATTAAATGAAAAACAAGTCTACCAATAAAGGGAAAAATCCACATAAAACTTTGCAGAGAGAGCAGCAGACACTGTTAACTGTCTGTTTGAGGACAGGTTCAGTGACTCCTTTCCACAAATTTGACAAGCCATGCCTTGCTCGCTTGTCATGTCAATAACATGATTTTGTAAATAGCAGACGAAATGGAAGATAAACCCTGCCTTAAAAAAAAAATCAAAAAAATCAAAGCTCAGAAAGGCCATGGCAAAAGTAGAAGTGTGTTTCTCATAGATGTCAAAGGTGTCTGTACAGATCTTCTGTCTGCTCTAATTAAATTTCAAGCAAAGATGTTTCCCTCTCAGGAGACCTCTACCTCCTTCAGGAATCGATGGCAGAGGGGCTAGGTCTTGGTCTGTCTCCTTCCTGCCTAAAGAAGGACTATCAGGAAAAATAGAATTCCTTATTTTAGCTCACAAAAGAAATGCCCTTCTGAATACTTACACATATTTAGGGTCTGTAAAAACAGTTTCATGTTGCAGAATCATTGCAGTTTGGGATTTTGATATGCTTAGTAGTACTTTGTTCAATTACTTCAAAATTTAGATGTTCTCTCCAAATTTTATGAATTTTAATAAATGTTTGTGAACTATAAAACAAATATGTGATTATGAGATTCTTATATGAAGTGTCTTCACAATGTTAATGTCTGAACTCAAGATTTTAGATAACTTTGTATTGAATTGAAATATAAATTACTTAATGTTGTCCCAAACCAGAACCACCAGACTTGGTTTAAACATATAAGGGAATCTGACGGTATTTTGTGCAAATACAGATGCAACTTAATAACATAGAACATCTAGTTACACCGCAGGGTTGTTGCAAGAACTACTTCCTTGCTCCATTTCAAAGAAAATTTCAGTCTAACCTGGTATATAAATGATCTACCTAGTAGGCAGCGTTACCTAGATGTGCGAAAGAAAGACCTAAGCCAGCTCCTTCAAAAATAAAGGTTAAACAAAGTCCTTAATATGCAGCATGTCCACTCTACACACCAAACAAAAGTCCCCTGGCCCTCAGCGACTACTTGTCTTAAGAGGTTAGAGTCTCTTCACATGTTGCTGTGGTAGAATGCTGACACGGTCACTTAGAGAAGGGTTTATTTGAAAACACAGTTTTAGATTACGGTTTGTTAAGACTGGAATCTCAAGGCAGTGGGAGTTTGAAGCATCTAGGCACATCCACAGTCAAGAATCAGAGATGAAGGAGTCACTGCGTAGGCGCCTATACTCATCTCCCTTTCTCCACTCTTACACAGTCCAGGGCTCAGCCCATGAAGTGATGCCCCCCACTTTGAGTAGGTCTCAATTAAATTAACTGAAAATTCAATCAAGCTCCCAATATACACACACCCACAGCTTCATCTACACAATCCTCCATTGAGGTCCTCTTCCCTGATAACTCTTGATTGTGCCAAGTGGAAAAATGATTTGCACAAGACCTGTCCGATGCCAAGCCAGTCAAAACGTCAGTAAGGGCAGGGAAAGGACTTACACAGTCCCGCTCTTGGCTGCAAAGCTCTGGTAACTTGGGGTACAGGAACTGTGTGGGTGGCCCATGCTTCAATGCACTAACTGGACTCATTGAACTTTTTAAAAAGGGAAATATAGTTGGGAGACTGTGGAGGAGATGCGGATGGAGTTGGAAGGGCAAGAGTAGGTGTGTGAACATGATCAAAATATGTCACATAAGCATGTAAAATTCTCAAAGAATTTTAATGTATAAAAATACTAACATGAGGGATTCGAAGAAGATTCAGAAATCCTGGCTGTAGTCTGTAAGGCTGCTTTGTCCAGCTGTTTTGAATGTAGGATCACCTGGTACTCTGCTTCAGGCGGTCTGGCTTGGTCAAACCACATTAGTCTGGAAGGAATCCACTTCTTTTCATTTTCTGTGGAAACAAAAATAGAAATCCTTTTCCCCAGTAACTTGTCCTTGAACTTAAATTTTGGAGTCAAAGCATTTTTTTTATTTTAATTTATTATTTTACATGTCAATCCCAGTTCCCCCTCCCTCCCTGAATCCCCCATGACAGCGCCCCTTACCAGCAGGAAGTAGTTTGGAAAGAATGACGCCCAAATTCCCAAATATTGTCTATAAATGTTTGTTTTTATTTAAATGGACTTGGTTATATAAAATAAAAAAAGAATATTTAAAACACACACACACAAAAAAAAAGATTTAACTCTAAATAAAAATTTAAGCAATTAAACTGTCAATGTCAACCCTTTGAGGATTCATATCTAAGTCATAAAGATATACATTGTAAAGTAAATTTGTTTTTTAACATTTATGAATGAGTTTACTAGTACTTTGTTATATTTTACTTTTCAAACAGCATATTTATTCAGTGAAGAATTCATAAAGTAAAATATTTATTTTTGAGAAAGAAAAAAATACTAACACAAATTTAAAAATTATCCTGGAGGTCACTAAAATTGTGAATTTATGGGAGTTATCATCTTTGCTAAAAAAAATGCAGCAAATAAAAATACTTGCAATTCTTCTTTGCAATGCTGGTGCACTGAAGCACCTGCAACATGTGTGGAGACAGACTGAAAATTGAAGTCTGCCAAGAGCTGTGTTCAAAGGGCTTAAGTCCTCCCAATAACAAGAAGTGATGGCTGGATGCTGCCCAAGATACCTGAAAAACTCCTCAGACACCCACATCCCATCATACTACTCTTTAATCTTCCAGAGAGCAGATGCATTTGATTATAGAGGCTGTGAGTGTCTCATGACAGCATTCATGAATAAATTCAATTGTAATTTGATGGGTGCTCGCTCGTATGGGAGATGTTAGAATAAATACTATTTCTGTCTTATTTTGCGATTCTTTTTGTCTAGGACCCACGGATCTCAGCATGAAGAGGCAGCTGGCAACTGGCTCAGGATCCTCTAGCAGTTCAAACTCCAGACCTCAGCTGAGTCCAACGGAAATCAACGCTGTGAGACAGCTAGTCGCGGGGTATAGAGAATCGGCTGCCTTTTTATTGCGTTCTGCAGATGAACTGGAAAATCTCATTTTACAACAGAACTGAGGCCAAGGATGTCATATTCACGGAGTTCTAAATTTTCAGTTTCCACTAATGACACTTGATTTCCCAGCAGAGACACTCCTGGTCTTGCTGCACAACCTTTTAAGAGAAATACTTCCACCATGCCACCGTCGTCCTTGATCCATGCACTGGTGTGTTGAGGAGTTTCAAAGGGACTCTGGCCTTGAAGTACTTGATGCTCAACTGTGCCCAGCCTGTTGCTTTCTGTTTTACTGTGTCAACATAAATATCATAAGCAAATTTAAAAAAAAGGCTGTATATTCTGAATCAAGGATAAAAATGAAGGAGCTTGTGGTATAAAAAAAAAAAATCTCAAGATCCAACTGAAATATTAGTGGGATTTTCTACTGACTCATTGGACTGAAAGCTGAAGTATATGGGGGAAAAAAAAAAGCCAAATTTCTTGTTGCTACAGGATATGACAACAATGAAAGGGGTCTTGTATTTTAAAAGAAAATGTAATTTTTATAAAAAGAATACTTGTTTTTCATTCAAAATGGTCATTTTTACTTTGGTAACTTTTTCATAGGTCCTAAAAGAAAACTGTTTTTTGAGAAACTACTGTAAGTACTCTTCCACATCCCTTTTGCCTTCTCCTCTTACCAAATTCTTTCTACAAAAACACCAACACTCAATGCAGGGGACAAACAAAAGCAAACAAAACAAAAAGCCCTTTGCCTACTTTCTTTAAGCCATCCCATCAGGAACTACTTCCAAGAGATGCCTGCATTTCGGTACTTCTGCCGGTCTCTAGGTCTCTAAACACCATGCTTACCACAGCAGTTTCCATTACAGAATTTTCTAAACATTCTAAAAAGACATGTTTCAAAAACAAAACAAAATCCAGCACGTTGTGCTTTCCTTGGAGCTGTTTGTCCCTGGTGGCTCTGCTGTCCCACAAGCAGCCCTCCAGAGCAGCCACTGGATGTAGATGACTGAATGTTATGAGGTTGCAAGTGACAATCTTAAACTTTGCACTCTCCTGTGAACTTTTCATTTCTTTTGGAAATAGTTTCGATAAAAGGCTGCTATAACTCCTGATATGATTTGTGTAATTTATTTATTTATTTATTCATTTTTTTTTCTAAAATTGAGAACTCTCAGCAGATAGAGCTGTACCTTATAATGAACTTCCCCCTTCTATCTCCTAAGCGCTGCCCTTCTTTTCTCCATTTCTAGTGTTAGACACATGCTGAGTGGTGTTCTGTGACTGAAGCGAGCCTATTTTTAAAATATTTAAGGAATTCTTTTAGTTCATGCTTGTACAATTTCCCTTTCTGTTGTTTAGCTTTGGTTGAATTACAAATTCTTTGTGCATTCTTGAATTTGCCTTATTTTGGGTAAAATCTATGTCATCCAATTTTCGGCAATGAGTTGAAGGCATCAGTGGTATTCCTTTCCTACTTGTTACATATAGTTTTTCAAGTACTGACTGTGATTGTGACGGGTAATGTGCACTTTTTATTGTAACTGTGGACATTGCTATGCTTTTTTTCTTCTGGTGTTTCTAGAATTATTGTTCCTTACAGTTACGTAAACAAAAAAAAAAAAACAAACAAACAAAAAAAGAAATTTTGTGATACTGTTGGTGAATATAATGTGAAAATCTTATTGAAATATGAGTATTTTGGAAATACATAGATGCACACACATCTTTTAAAGGTGTGAATTTAGAGTTTGCTTATTTAATGAAAATTTTAAAAAACCGAGGGCTGGTATAATTTTCTCTGTTTTTGTTTGGTTTAATAAACAGATTTCTGTGTTAAAACAATGATTCTGAAAACATGCAATCTTCATTTGGTTTTCATTTTAGTGGTGCTAAGGGTGAAAACCAGAACGTTGGATATGTCAGGCAAGTACTCTAACCTTTGGCTATAAATTTTAGTGCTTAATTTTGGGCAGTTTCTGTTTAAAATATAAAATGCAGTCTTAAACCTACATTTGAAAAAATAATTTTCAACATTTTCTTTCCCTAAATATCCCAAAGCTGACATACCCAGACTAATAAAAAACTTAACCAGAGATATGAAGAGGACCAGCAGGGTGAGTCTACTACATAATTCTTCAAATCTATTGGAAAGTTGGATTTGTTACCTTTAGTCTTCATTTTTTTCATATATGATCTGACATTCTTAAGCCTTCCTGATGACTGAGAGATTCGGGGCTAAGGAGGTAGCTCAGTGTGTTAAGTGTTTGATCTGAAAGCATGAAGACACAAGTTCAGATAGATCCCTAACACCCACAAACAAACCAAGATATGACCACAAATGATAATATTTCCACTGCTGGGTGCACTGGCAAGCCAATCTTGTCAACCAGTGATTTCTAGGTTTAGTAAAAAAATCCTGTCTCAAAAGAATAAAGTGGATATTAATGAAGAGGACATCCATTGTTGATCTGTGACATATAGTTGGAAAACAGTCCTCATGATTGCATTTAACGTAAGCATGAAACATTCTTCATAATGATCATGGAATGCAGCAGCAAAAGCAATGCTAATCTCTAATAAGTCTGTCTTAAAATCTTCTACATATGTCTGCACAAATAGGACACCATGTTCTCCTCATTTCCTTCTTGCTTATGACGTGCACCTGCAAAACATCATGATCTCTTATTTGGGCAGGCAAAATGATTCAACAGATAAGGGTACCTGCCCCCACACCTGATGAACTAATTGACTAATTGATCCCCAGAACATACAGAGTGGAAGGAAAACACCTGTGGAGGTCCTTGGATTTCCACATATGGGCTTGTACACACACACACACACACACACACACACACACACATTTAGATGACTATACAGTCATCTAAAAATGGCATAGTTTTGCCATGGGCACATTAGTACTGAAGCCAGCCTTTGACCCAGCCACTCCTGAGGGTGGCTCTCTCTGGATGGCTGTTTTGTTCCCTGCTACTTCCAAGTACCAAATAATTCCAGTTTGCACTGCACCTTAGAACCAGATGCCCATATTAAATATTAGCAGTTTTATTATTATAGATGAATTATAGTTACTTGTTAAATGATTTGATGAACCACTTCTAAGATTATTGAATTTCCTTTGTAATGACCTCTATGAATATAAAAAGCTGTGGTAAAGCCTACCATTCATGGTGGAAGAAATGCCCTAAACATTAAGAGCACTAGTTTATTATTCTTCCAGAGGACATGAGTTTTATTGCTACCACTCACACTGCAGCTAATCACCTGCTACCCTAGTTCCAGGGGATCTGGTGGCCTCCTTTAACCTCTGTGGGCATCAGGTATGCACCTGATACCAGACATACAGTGAGGCAAAAAGAAAAAGAACTTATAGAACTTATGCATATAAAACTAAAAAAAAAAATATTTGAAAGAAAAATTGATCACTGGTGACAATCAAATACATGTAAAATGGCATGATGAAGCTCCAAAATAAGTATAACTTTTTTCTCTTTTTGTGCTGAAATTACAGATGTGTACTACCACACTGGCTCTAATTTAAATGTTAAATCTTATTAAAAAAAAAAAACTAAAGGGACCATCAATGTGGACCCACAAAGGGAAGCCTTGCTATGAATCCTGATACCATGGATACAGATAGCATTTAAAGATAAATATTTGTCAAAATATTTTCTAACTTTATAGGGCCCATGTTTCTAGTTTACAGTGAGAACCCCCCCCAAAATAAGGCAAGTAGATAATAATATATTAACCTTCTTTTCCAACATTTGAGGAAGGTAAAATTTGCTAAAGAATTAAGCACATGTTAACCTATGATTTGGGCCTCTGTCCTCTCCAGAAAACATCAGAGAATCCACTTCCTTCCCACTCCAGCTTCTGATATTTTTCTTTTAACTTTTTGATCTTCTTTTCCAAATAGGACAGAGTCTTAATGTGGACCTGGTTACCCTCAAACTCTCTACACAACAGAGAATGACTGTGAATATTTTGTCTTCCCCCTTCACCCTCCCAAGTGCCAGGCTTATAGGTATGTTCCAAAAGAACGGGGACATACTGTGTCAGGAACTGAACCTAGGGTGCTTCCTGCATCTTGGGCAAGCCTTTCATCACTCAGCGTATAATAATATATCAGAAGGGGGACCTTGGAAGGGTCCCATAGTAGGTAGGTAAAGGACAACCACATCGTCAGGCAGGACGTGCATGAGAAGGAAGTTTTATTGGGGAAGGAAAGGGAGTAGAGGAAGGAAGAGAGAAAGGGGAGAGAGAAGAGAGACAGGCAGAAGAGAGAGGAGAGAGAGAGAGAAGACAGAGATCCAGATGGAAATCTGTCTGCCTCCTCAGAGAAATGATGAAAAATAGAAAACAGGAATAGGCAGAGCTTGTCTCTTAAAGGGACCTTTATACCTGCATACAGAGCCAGGGTAGTGCATGTGATGAGAGCAGGAGTGGGCATTCTGCAAGGTTCCCAAGGAGCAGGGCCAGGTGTGCCTGGCTACAACCTCAACTCTCTGGTCCAAGTTTTACAGACCATCTGCATCTTTTGATTGATGGTTCTGTCTACATTCTTGAAAACAGAACCAGGACAGGACACAAATTCTTTAAAGTTCTGACCTTCACTCCCTTTTCCAAAATATTTATGGATTCTTCCGTGTATACTATGTACACCTGGGCAATACAGGATACTTTGTTTACATTAAGTTCAGCTAATTAGCAACCTTAGTTCAACATACAAAGTTAATTCTGTCATTTGACATGTAACAAAATGTCTATGAGCTCTCATTAGGCTGTGGCCTTCTCTAAGGGCTCATCATTCTCCCTCTGTAGTGTTCTGTTAAATACCTCTCAGGACCCATTGTATTTGTTGCTTGACTGCAGGAAAGACATAATTCAACAGTATATCTTCATTAACTGTCACCAGCTGCAACCCCAGCTCTTTCTCTTTTGTATAGAGTATTGTCTTATGGAGTTTATTTAAGGGAATGTTTCTGAAATTTGTCATTCTAGTTAGAAACAATAAACAAATATGGTGAAGGTACAGCTAAAACCTTTCAAGAGAAATTAAACAAGAACATTTGACTTATTCTGTCCCCTTGATTTCTTAGAAACTCTTTATGCCCAGGCAAATTCCCTGGCACCTATTTGGGTGTCTCAACAGATTAGACCAGTGTG